AAAGATGAAGATTTAACTAGCTAAATCAAATTTAAATTTTGTTGCATACCATTGCTTGCTTTTTGAAGTGCAATTGTTGTCCCCAAACTGGGCTCTTGCTTGGTGTTGAAGCCAATAAGTAACTGGACACAAGGTGTGGTCCAAAATTATACTTTTATTTTGGTACCAAGATATAAGGACCCTGGCTCAAAAGCTAATAAAAGGCCCCAATTACAATCTTAAAGCAATTTTTAGTCAAGGGGTGGTCACATTCAGCCCTTTGCCCTTCCCCTAATAATGCATGCATAACAGATAATATTGATTAGTTATTTGGATCTCAGCCCCCTACATAGCTGGGTTGGGGAATCTCAGGAATTGTCAGTGTAGAACGGATGCAGGCCCCAACCCAGGCAAATGCCTTAGCACCATCCATTCCAATGCCTTTTAGCACCATCGAAAACAAGAATGCTGTTCCAGCCTAAAAAGGCCACCGGCGACCAGTACACTTTCGCTAGGACACCCTAAATGGCCACCAGCAACCACCAGACATCCACTAAGATGCTCTACATGAGCATATGCCTCCACAACACCCTTTCCAACAGCTTCCTGACACCCTTTGACACTGTGGAAGCAAGAGTACTGTTCCAACCCTAAACAGCCGCCAGAAGCGACCACCAGACTCTCACCATTGCCACCAAGAGTACCTGTACACCCTAAAAGGCCGCCAGAGGTGACCAGCAGACTTGCACCAAGAGGCTGAACTTGAAGATTGAACCTCAAGCTTTGCATGCTTTGGTTTGTGTGATGCTTTATTAATGTTTACTGTTTCTCTTAGTTATATAGCTAACTGTTTATCTTAGTTATATCGTTATCTGCTATTCAGTTAGTATTACTGTTTACTGCTTATCTTAGTTTATAGTTAATTCCTTTTTTTTCTTCTCTTAATAGTAGAATTTACAATTCCAGGCGGGGAGTGTGCTGTCTAGCCAGTGTATGGGAATTGGATAGTTAGTTAGCAATTGTGAGCTGTCCCCTTAAGGGAATGCATCATGGTAAATGTAGTTAAGGTATCCTGGGAAATGTAGTCCATGTCACATGACCACATCTGTAATCCTGATTGGTCACTAAATTGACCCTCGATGGGTTGGGGGAGGTTTCTTCACTCTTGCCTGAACTCATGGACTTGTGGTAGCTGCTCTACCTCTACCGTTACGAGATGGGAGGAAAGGGATAAGGAGATAACCATCTTTTTACCTACAAGACAGATATGCAAAGGATTGGATATTAAGAAGAACTTCGTCACAAATGTGAGTTAGGAGGATACCTGATGAACCAATAATAAAGACTTTGTATGAATGTTTTGTTGAGTTTATCTATCTGCATCTGAACAGAAGAGAAAATCTACCACTGTACAGAATACAGAACATTTTAGCTGTATAGTTTATACAGCTTTGTTTTTAACAGAGGGAAAAAAATTAACCTTGCTTAATCTTTTTTTAGCTGCTACGGTGGAAGCAAAAACAATTACCCTCCTTTTTTCTCTTTGTTAGCTAGCAACCATGTATTTAACTGTGTGTATACTGTTACTTTAATAAAAGCATTATTTTTCTCCTCTTAATATTAAAGCCGCACCTAACTGTTTTTGACTATTCTTGAAACATTCATGTAGGGTTGACCTTAACTGCTACCAGTATTTGGATAGAACGCCTTGAGGAAATCTCAGGGCTGTAGAATTAGATAGGAAAATCAGAAAACACTCTGGGCAAGAGCACAATGACCTTCATTTAAGGATAATTATTTAAATACTTTTTGTCTCAGTGCTGAATCACAGAGGAGGGGTTGTATACATTGATTTTATCTTTCCAAGGCTAAATTTACTAACTTTCAACTAATTCTGTGAGTTAGTGCTAACTAATGCTATTTCAAGAATATACCATTAAATTTTCCATTCTTGTAGCATCTGTAAATGTGTTAATCCCTGTACATTTATCACTTATCTTCCCATCTCATTCACTGTTAGCTTTCAGGTTTTCATCTTCATAATCCATGAGGCTTCTCTTTCTTTTTTCTGTTGCCAGAACTTGAATGCTAAGTTCCTGGTTTATTAAGGGACAAATCTTGAGCTGTGGCTTAATTTCCGGATGAGATTCTGGCTATTAACCACTGTAAAGCACAGCTTTTTATTTAGGAAAAGTATGGAACTTGTCCTATATCAAACTAAGATTTTCACTCACATCAACCTACAGTAGGAGGGAAAGAAGGAATTCATGGCTTTAGTTTCATTCAGTTTAGTTTCTGAACCTTTAAACAAATATCCAAATATACAATTTAGATGGGGTGGTGGTATAAATTATGCCAATGTTTATATCTGGGAATCCAGAAGATTTAATTTTATCATTTAAAATATCCAGGTCTGCATGTTGCTTTTTTCTGCCTCTTTCAAGTATAGATTAATTACTATTTTTTCCTTTCAATTGCCTACACATCTATAGTGGAATCTTTTCCAATGTGAATTTTTATTCATTCATCCGTAAATGGGCTTTCAAAGCATAAAAAGACAATCCTTGCCTGAGGATCTTACAATCTAAAATTCAATAGTTTGGAGAAAATAAACTGAGAAAGGAAAGGGAAATGAAAGAAGATTAAACAACAAAAATAAAAAGCAAAGCATTTATTTTATTTCAACATACTTAGTTCTGCTATTTTTCTTGGTGTAGATGAGCAATCAGTGATTATTTTATTGAACAGATTTTATTCTATTCACTCCTAATGGTTCTAGACATTTTATAAACATAATGAAAGCAATAAAATGTTATCTACCAATATGCACAGAATAGGAATTTTAGAAAGTCTTCTTAAAATATTTAAGCTCCATCATGAACTGGATGGCAAATGCAAAAATTTTTATAGGTCCTATCACAGAAAAATAATGATAGCAGGATGTAATATAATATTCCAGCCTTGTAATTTTTATCGTTCCTTCTGCTCTATTATACAAATCATTATCAGTTGGGATTTAATTTTTATTGCACACACACTTTTTGCCAAGCTGGGCTACTGAACAATCCAACCAAAATGCTCCATTTTCTGTCATCTGAAAGATCTCTTGAATATTGAAGCTGCTTCCAAAGACAAGTTTTTTTTTTTTTGAAGTGATGCCAGGTGTTGAGAAAGCTTGGCCTCCCTCATGATGCATGTTAATAAGTCTTCCTTTAATGTTCCAGACATTAAGTGATAAAGAGTGCCTGAACTTTTATTACATTGATCAGCCCATAGAGAATGCAGACACACTGAGAGGCACTTGTTAGTACTTGCCCTCTAGCCTAGGATTCAGTGATTCCTATAGTCTGCCAAAGCTTAGCTTAATCATCTTCTTTCAGATTTATTTCTTTGGATGGCTCATTTAGAAACAGAGATAAGCAAGATTACTCAACTATAGCATCTTAAAATCTAAGCTGTTATTTGATGTATGCATAGAATTGATTGATAAAAGATCTGAAAACAGTTTTCTTAAACTATATTTTCTTAGTGCGTGGAAACAATAATGTGCAAAAATTCCTAGTCAGTATATCCAATCATCCAACATATTTGAAGGTGCTAGTTTAGGAAGGGATGATCTTATTGACAGTAATTAATCTATAATTTGCCTGAATTTGCCTCATTTTTTTAAACTTGGACTAAGGCTTTGAAAATCTGTGCCGTTAAGATTTGCCTCTATTGGTGTCCATCAAATTTACTGCCATGCATGGCATTTTAGATTTTCTTTAAAAAGTTGAGCAACTGCAAGTTCAAACTAAGATCATAGAATTTTCCTTAAAAAATTAAAAATATGGCAATTGTAAGCCAATGTTTGAAGTGTGAGTAACTTCTAAAAATTGATAAAAGTGAATGGCAATTAGAGTGTTATGAGTAGAATAGTAAATCATCTTCCAATATAGTGGTGCTTTGTAACTAATATTGGCCCAAAATCAGTTTGTTGTGAATAGACAAAAACCCTTAGCAGCCCACTGGCATAGGAGGGCTTATAGACCTGTTTTTCCCCCTCTACCTTGTTCTACCTGCAAATATAATCTAATTATATTCCAGTTAATTGCATTATTCATTATTTAAACTTGATTTGCAATTTTTGCTTAATGGAGACTAAATGGAAAGGGAAGGAGAAATATCAAACTGTTATAACTTGTTCACCCAGGACAGGCATTCAGCTGCTAATAACTGAAGAAGCATCAGCAGATTCAAGAGGCTCTGGAGTTTGGCTGAGAGCCCTTGGTAGTTGCTTGACAATGCCAATGGTGGGCATTGAACCTTGTCATTTCTTATCCATCTGCTATGTTACGGGCAAGGAAGGAGCTTGCATGTTGCATAAGTGAAAGGTATAAATTTTCTTGTCACATAATAGCCCAGGTGTGCAGAGATATTATTGCAGATATTATTGATGGAAAAGGTAGGACTTATATACAGTAATTATAATACAGTACAGTAGAACCTCTGGTTACAAATGCTTCTGACTGACCAAATTGGGTGACGATCAAACATTTCAGAAAATCTTTGCATCTGGTCGCGAACAAATTCTCAGTGGCGATATCAAACACAGCAGTGGCGATTTCTCCTTCCGTGCCAATTTTCCCTTCCGCATCTTTTTCTTTTTACGCACATGCACAGTCAGTCTCACTGACCAAATTGGATTGTGACTGAAGTCATGGAACAGATTACGGTCGTGACCAGAGGTTCTACTGTAATATTAAAACTAGAGAAGGTTGGATTTGGGGGTAGGGATTCATAGTGCTGGGTATTAGCTTCTTCTTGATACTCTCCACAGATCAGATTAGAACCTTCCAGATATTGCTGGACAATTGTTTCCAGCTTCCCTTACAATTGGCCATGCTGACTAGAGTTACTGGGACTGTAGTTCAGCAACATCTAGAGCATCAGAGTATCATCTTCCTCTTTCAGAGTTTCAAATAGCATTTGTATGTTGGCATTTTTCATTTCTGGTTGGCTACCTTTGCCTTATCTTTCAGCACGTCTGGAGTGAAAGTGAGGACTGTTTGCCCTTTCTGCAGTTGGCTCAAGACTACATTTCTTCGTGTGGTAAAAAGACACTACATGAAATTCTGGAAAAAGTCTTCAAATCATTTAGACCAGTAAGTGCACATTTTCTTTTCCAAAGATTTGGATTCAATACACCACTGGAATATGTTTCTTCTAACGTCTATAAGCTGTCTGGCAAAACACAAATAAATAAATTTATTTTCATCAGTCTTACTTTATTTTTTCCATCTCTGATCTTCCATTTTGCAGACTCCCTGCTGGGGCAGAGGCAGATCATACTGACTCCCCAGCCAAGTGAGAAATTGTGTGAGGCTTCATATTTAAATGTTGGGTCTAAAGAACTATAGGGAGGATGTCTATATTGATTTCTGTGGTGGAACTATTTTCTACTACTTTTTTAGGGAATTTCATAATGAAAATATATTGACTTTCACCAGAAGGAAGCACTCTTTACCTCACAAACTGAAAAAAATATGCATCCTATTCAAATAGTGTTTTGATATTTTCCATACTTCTAAAAACACTCAAAGTAGGTAATAAAATAAGTTGCTAGCTCTTTGTGGTTTATTTATTCCACCCTCTTCAGGTATTTATTCCACCCTCTTCAGGTAAAACCTTCTCCAGGTACAAATAGCATGGAAGGTAAGTATAATTCTTCAAATGATCTTACGTATGTTAGTAGATTGATATGAGATAGACAAATGCAGAAAAATAAACTTTGGCCCCAAATGTGTAACTTTTACACATTCTGGTAACTGATTTTATGATTCAAAATCATGTAAATTATTGAACGTAGTAGTTAAAGCAAGACTTCAAAGACTTGTCAATAGAAATGTAGCTATAAGTACATTTACTTGAAAATGGTTTTTTATGTAAATAAAAGCAGCAGTTTCATTTAAAAAGAACAAGAAACATTGGGATGCCTAATCTGCTGTCATTCATACAAAAGAAGCCAAGTCTGAGAAATGAACAACACTAATTTTTATTGTTCATTTTTCAGTAATGGCTCCTTTTGTATATGAATGAATTCAGATGCATTTTATGCATATTACTAATTATACTTTCTGCAGTTTTCAATTTTAGTACTTAAACACACACATTTTGTGTATATTTTGCCCAATGCAATCATGCATTTTTGCAATCATGTTTTGAATTGCAAATTACTTCACAAATATAAGTTAGATGTTGATTTATATTGAGGATATATTTTGTACCTATCAGCAGAACAATAGATTAACTTTTTGTTCCCCAGCTCAAACTATATGTAGCAGCCTTAAACTTAATTAGAGTATTAGACAAATATAGTTTTAATTTGATAATTTCACTGATTTTTAAGGGATGCTTATTTTCAGGAATGTTTTCATATGAAGGTTTTCTGATGCTGTCATTGAAAAGCATTTGTCAGTCTCCTTCAGTTGAATTTTAATTTAAAAATATAGAATCCAAAAAATTACAGTGCTGGGCTTCTTATTTTTTTATAACTATACTATTAAATATATATTCCACCTTTTTTCTTATATTACAAGAAAACTTCAATGGTTATAATTTGAATAATTACACATCTTTCATCTGGAAATGCTTGTATTTTTCTTGATACCTGAAGCCCCTTCAGATTTACCAATAATTGAGCAGCAATAAGTTTATAAATCTGTTGCACTTTTTCATATGGAGATTTTAAAAATGTCTTTGAATGTACAAATTAAGAACAAACAAGTGTTTGCAAAGTTAAGTATTTTACTAAGAATATCTGAATGTCTGAGAACTAGAATTGGCTGCAGCTTCTGAATAAGAAATATTTTAAAATTCTTTGTAACAGATGAAATTCTGACATTGTCTTAAGTGAAGCATGCTGATAAAATTTTATTGTAATTAGTCACTTATCAAATTATCTGTTTTCTTGCAAACATCCCTCAATCATGCCACCTTTGCTTTCCTTCTCCGGCTAGCTTTTTCTGAAACATATGATACAGAGTTAGATATTAGAAGCCTTAATTCACTAATAGATGTTAAAAATTTGCAAGCAAGTTCATGGGTTCTTTCTGATGCTTTCCTGCCACTTGTAACTTAGCCAGTTCTCCAGCATTCCTATGGGAGAATCCACACAAATGGGTTGAATCTGCCTTTCTGCTCAGAGACTGAGTCATCAATCTTTGCCATGCCCCTGTCAGGCCAGGAAGTCCCCTAGCTCCAGTCATGACTCAGTCTTGGCCCTATAGAGACGTGGCAAAGTTTGGCTCCAACAATTTCAGCAGAAAGCAGCATTTTAAAATGTGGATTCCCCTAAAGGTTTGCAAAGCTTTTAAAAGAGAAAAAAACATCATAAACAGGTACCTGCTCCCTTTTTTGCGGCTCCCCTGAACTACCAATTGAAGGCCTAACAGCCCAGGCAGACAGGGGAGAGCCCCTAAATGATCCCCTTCTCCCTGGGGAGGGCACTGAAGCCACAATTGCCCCCAGCGCGCCATTGCAACCCCAGGCTCAACTGAGTAATGGCGGGGGTGGCCATTTTTCCTATTCGTGCCTAACAACTGATTTTTGGGGTTGGCGGCAGCCATTTTGATAGCGTGGCGAGTTGTGCAGGCTATCCAGGAGATTGGTAGGGCCTCCACTGTCACAGCCCAGGGAAGGCTCTCAGGGCTTAAATCTCTACTAGAGAGGAGATTTGGAGGATTGAGAGGAGCTCAATTGCAGCGTGCAGGATGACTGACCAAGACAGCATGGAGCCCACATGTGCAGAACGGTCCAAGCAGAGTCCCAGAAAGGCCAGATCTGCAAGCAAAGAGGCTGCAAACAAGATAAAGGCAAAAGCTCTTTATTCTAGAAAGCCTACAAGAGTTGAAGAAAGAAGGCAAAGAGCATTGGAAAAATAATTATCCAGAGCTCAGAAGCAAGCAGACCAGGATAGGTATTCCACCTCCCCCCAGCCAGAGCCTGGTTTGTTCCCTCCCTCAGCAACCATTAGTACAGGAGTTGCCTGCAGCTTCCATCCCGCAGGTCCTGGATTTTTTTCAGGATGGGCTTGACAAAGGTTTCTCTCCAAATACAGTGAGCAGACAGGTAGCCGCCCTGTCCACGGTGTTGCACTACGGAAAGAGGGACTCCCTAGCCCGCCATCCAGTGGTCCGCACCTTCATCAAAGGATCTGTCAATTTCAAACTGCTAATGATTCACAGGTACCCTTCCTGGAAGCTGTCCATAGTATTACAAGCCCTTACCCAGGCACCGTTTAAACCTCTTCAATCTGTAAGCCTACTTGGCACTCAAAGTTGCCTTTTTAGTGGCCATTACCTTGGCCAGGTGCATATCAGAATTGGCAGCTCTTTCAGTCAGTGGACCTCTGCACCTTCCACACAAACAGGGTTGTCCTGTGCCTTGACCCCTCCTTCATCCCTAAGATAACCCTAAGAAAACTCCCATAGGGCTCAGGAAATCATCCTACCTGACTTCTGCCCCACTCCATTTCATGACAGGGAGCACAGATGGCACAAACTGGATATAAGGAGGCACAAACTGGATATAAGGAGGACACTTCGCAGATACATCAAAAGAACATCGATGTATCGCAAAACCGAAGCCCTGATTGTCTCATTTCAGCCATCTTCAATTGTTACCAAAGTCTCTTCCTCAACCATAGGCTGTTGGATCAGGGCTTGTATAGCCAAGGCCTACGAGACTTAGGCTATTCCTGTACCCAGACAAGTAACCGCCCATTCACTGAGAACAACACAGCTACCACAGCTGTCTGTGCGACACAAACCTCACTTGAGGACATCTGCAGGGCAGTGACGTGGTCCTCCCCATCTCCTTTCGTAAGGCACTACAAACTGGACACATATGCCTCAGCAGAGGTGGCCTTTGGCAGAAGAATGCTATAATGAGTATATACAGACAGGGGTTCACAGGACCAGACTTCTTCCCACCCATAGGGACTGCAAGCTTTGGTGTGGATTCTCCCATAGGCATGCTGGAGAATAAGCGATGACTTACCTGAACGCAGTTTCTCAGCATGCTTTGGGATAATCCACTCCTGCCCTGGCAATCGTCTGGTCCAGTGTTCAGGTGAGAGGCAGAGCCAACGCCACAAAGAAGATCATCAGGTGGCTGTGCCTTCGTTGTGACTGGGGCTAGGGGACTTCCTGGCCTGACAGAAAGAGGTGTGGCAAAGATTGATGACTCGGTCTCTGGGCAGAAAGGCAGATTCAATCCATATGTGTGGATTATCCCAAGGCATGCTGAGAAACTGCGTTCAGGTAAGCCAACACCTATTCTAGGTTGTCTTTCATCTTTCTATTCAAAAGAAATTGAAAACTAGTCAAGATAGTTTTCATTGTATTGAAAGCTAGATTCAGAGAGAGAAAGGGTTATTTATCTGGAAGTGCCTTTAAATAAAATCTAGCCTAGTTTTGCTTCTTTTATATAAAAAGCATTATACCAGTAGCACACATTCCACAAATATTTTTTTCAGGTTTACTCTGGTGTATAAATTATATTTCTCATGTCATTATTTCATATTTCATATTACATTTACAATTTATTTCTTCCTTCTTTACAAAGCTATTGGGGCTCCCAGATGTGGATGATGCCTTTGAAGAATATCATGCAGATGTGGAAGAAGAGGAGGCCGAAGCTGATCCTCAGCAGATGGGTGTCAGTCAGCAGTAATATTCAGAGGAATTAGTGTGTGTGTGTGTGTGTGTGTGTGTGTGTGTGTGTGTGTATGTGTGTATATGTATGTATGTATGTATGTATGTATGTACGTACGTACGTATGTATGTGTGTATATATATATGTATGTATGTATGTATATGTATATGTATGTATATGTATATATATGTATGTGTATATATGTATGTGTATTATCTTACCAGGTGGGGTCTTATGCTTCTGCATTAGCATTTTTGAATTAGTACATTATACTGGAAAACCTGACACCCAAACCCAAAGTTTAAAAACAAAACAGCAATATTATTTTTGAAAGTCTGTGATGAGCTTTGCTAAGATGTGATGTGAATTAACTCCTGCTTCAGTTAAGATTTTATGATGTTGTCTTGGTAGCATTCTGCCATTGTTAACTTAGTTTTTTTTCCCCCTCTCATGGACTTGTCTTTTTTGTTGTTGTTGATATTATTATCATTTTTGTTTGTATAGAAGAAAGATTAACATTTCACTGATCTGAATGTGATTTGAATGTTGAACTGCTTGATGTGTTAAATACTTGCAGGCTCTTACTGAGGACCATCCATGCAGAGAATAAATGCAATCAGCACTTTTGGTTCTCTCTCTCTCTCTCTAACACAAATGCATAGCATTAATGAAGGCTGTCCTGATTATAGTTGGGACTAAAATATAGATGAAAATGAGTATTAGTGTAGGTAGGGACAGGTGTTATATCCAATGTCTTAATATTTACTTGATTTTGGTTATTGTAGAAAGATCCTTACAGATTAAACATTTCATGAATAGTACTTAAATATTATGCAGGTTTTGTTAAAATAAGAATTTTCTGAAATTTTTAAAGATAAAGGGTAAAACAGAACTGACATTATCGATCTGTTTTATATACTTTTGTAATCAAATACACACTCATAACTTGCTTTAACAAAAACACAAGTAAATTAAAAATAAAGACTTATTCCTTATCAGTGGTGACTAACCTTTTTGGCAACAAATACCCAAATGGGTGCATGCACGTGCACCAGAAACCAGAAGAACAATTCCCTGACGCGCAAACGCAGGAGCGCCAAAAACTGGAAGCTTAGTTTACTGGTGTGTGCATGCGCGCCAGCCACCTGGTTTTCCAGTTTTTAACACACATACACACACGAAGACTAGCTGGCCAGCATGCGCTCTGGGGAGCTGCTTTTCCGGTTTCCGGCACTCCTGCATGCGCAAAGACCAGCTGGCCAGCGCATGCATGCGTGCCGGCAGAGCTGCTCTTTTGGTTTCTGGCACTCCCACGCATGTGAAGACCAGCTGGCCAGTGCACATGTGCGCACCAGAACCCCAAAGAGCAATGGGCAATGGCTGGCATGCCCAGAGAGATGGCTCTGTGTGCCACTTCCCGCACGCATAGCATAGGTTCACCATCACGGGTCTATATTAATAAAAGAGGTAGCAGTGAGTGAAAACTATCCTTTGTGACTACTTTGGATGAGGAAATTATTACTTGTTTGCCTTTTAGTAAATATCAGGGCTGAAGAAATCTTTGTATAGAACTTTTCAGTATTTAATGTCGGGGCAGACAGCAGACTTCCTGGGAATCCTTCTGTTAGAGAAATGTCATTAGTTTGCCTTCTGGTAAATGGGTGTTTTGTGAGTAAACATCGTGATTTTATGGGAGCTTCACAGTGTGTTTTCCAAGTTCCAAATGTGGTCATTGGCCCCAAAAGGTTGCCAGATTATCTCTCCCAGGTCAGCCATTTCCTAAAGAGTAGAATCTGTAAATTAACTACAGGTCTGGAGTCCTCTACTGAACTGATGTTGAACCCCATGTGGTGCATAGCCAATGAAATCTTTCATCGATGATAGTGTAATTGGCAGCATTCCATATACTGCATCACTTTCTTGCATTGTGACACCATTTAGAAGTAGCTCTTCTATTTAGCTGTACTTTTCCGAATTTACTGACTCTTCCCTAACTAATCAAATGAGCCATCCTTCAATGTTTAAATCAGGGGTCTCAAACTCAATTTACCTGGAGGCAGAGTCTGGGTGAGGCTGGGCCGCACAAGGGATTCCACAAAAAACGTTATTTAAAAAATATCCTCAAATGTCATCAACAGTTAATGATTTCTCCAATACATGAACTGTCCTGAACACATGAATGGAACATTGAATGAAGATCATGAACAGTTCCTCAGAACATGGCTTCTCCAGCTTACTCCTTGCTGCCAGAG